CCTTCTGCGTTACTCTTCCATAATTTCTGGCAGCAGGTGATCAGCTATCCCCTTGGGTCTCATGGTGGGAGGGTACTGAGGCTGTTGAGGTGACTGGGAGTACAGACAGGAGCATCCCTCTAAGCAGCCTCCTGGAGACTAGACTGGGAGTTACAGGTGAGAGGCAGAAAGAATTATGATTTTATCTCTCTCCTTCTTTCTCCTAAAGTTAACACAGTGGTAAAGAAAATGCACTATTTTTAGTAAACTTCATGTCTTTTAAAACATTTCCTCCTCCTTGGAATTGAATTCCAATGGATAATCTCATAACATGCCTGTAACCATTACTGCTTTTTTAAATTATTACTTGTGCCATTGCACTGGCATTGCAACTATCTAAACATCGTGAAATTGGTGTTCACAGCTATTCTTGCAGCAAACACGAGTTACTAGTTTACTTTTCTCACCAAGCTGGTTTGTTTATTTCTGGCCAATTTGTTCTCTTTCTGTGCTCCAGTGCAGTGTCTCTCTTTGTGCCAGTGCAACTGTCTATAGTGCTGTCCTAAATACTGGATCAGTGAAAAAACGGTGTGGTGTTTAGCATTTGGAGTTTCCTTTCTTGCGTGTTCATTTGAACCATCCAGTTTCTAGTGTGGTCCATAAATGATTCATATTGGCTTAACTGAGGAAGGTCTGAACTGCAGCAGTTGGCAGCGAGGAAACTTCTTAAACATACTTGGTCACAGGAGAAAATGTTTGTGGAAGTTCACTCCTCTACTGTGAAGTATGTATAATTGTTAGAAGGTGGTTATGAGAAGTTGTTTTCTCAAACAAGTAGTAAGTTACTTTCTATAATGAAAATGAGTTTGCAGTTTAATAAAACAATTCCTGTTCTGTCTGCCTTTTCCACAGCTGTTGAAATAGAATAGCTTTTAAGATTAATTTCATTTAGCTTAAATATTATAAAATGGCTGCAGTGTGTAACTACTCCATTTTATATATTATGTAAAAAAGATTGCTTTTCTTGTAAATAAACTTTAAAGATTACCCTCCTTCATAGTAAGTATCCCAGTAAAACTGGTCTACTTGTCTTAAAGTGTAATATATTACTGGTTAAAGGTAATTTAATCAAGCTTGCCTCACCATTTTTGAAGTGTGCAGAGAAAATAATGTCAATTCTTCATTAAATTGACTCTTAAAGTATATTTCTCCTCTGCCTGCACTGTACTATGGTATATTCCTGTTTAATACTATTACTGGTCTTCAACCAATTTAAAAATAAATTTTAAAAATATATAAAAAAGGGTCCTGTAATGGCACCATTGTTCTATACAAGCAAACCCAATTGCTTTTTTTAAAGGACATCATTAATTCTTTCAAGGACATCTGCAAGTACTGAAATGTTAAATATTATTTTGCCTTTTTAAACAAATACGTGAAAAGCTCATATCTTTAGAATTTGGTAGATGCTTCTGGCATTTCCTAACATCATGTGTTAGAAGTTGTAATATATGTTGTTTGAATTTTGCCACCTAGATGCTGCAGTATTATGTATTTCCTTGCAAAAAATACGGTTTGTTACAATCATGTTCACTGAGAAAATTAGTTACACGTAAATGTTGTCACAACTCTCTAACATTCTCTGCCTTACCCATGTTTTGAAACTTCACGTTTCATACATAGATTCAGAGTCTATTATAGAGATTCTTCGTAGCTGCTGCTTAAAACATGGGTGTTTCACTGGTGACCTATGATGGGGATTGGTTTGTGCAGGCAGTGAAGAAGAGAGGCTCCTAACCAGCAGCTGTGGAATTCTGCAGTAAGTTTTAGTTCAGGTTGCTTTCACTTTGTAAAGCATGAAAACCAGATTCTCTTTTATGTGCCCTTGTATACATATTAATTGTATTTATAAAATGTTCTATAATCCTATAACTGTACTGTAAATACTATTTGATATTCAGTGGCATTCTATCCTCGGGCAGGCCCTCTTGCTGTATCTTTTCTATCCTTGATTTGTAATAGAAGTCTATAGAATATATGGCTAGAAAGTCTCTTTGAGACTGACTTATCTTCTGCTGTTGCAAGGCTGTGAGTTGGAATGGTTTATTTAGACTCCTTTTAATATTATTCAGCTAATAGGCAGTGCAGTGGGTGCGTTCTTAGATGATGATGCTGTCACTGAAGATAGAGTTAGGCTTTTGTTTCAGATGTCATCGGTGTTTCAGATCAGACCTTTAATCTGTTTGCTTTATTTCAGCCAAAGCAAAAAGATGATAAATTGGTTCAATGTCATAGTAAAATGTTTGAATGCCTTAAGATGCTCATGAGAAAGGCACTATTCAAGTTTACTGATTTATATATATCTATATAGATATATATAGACATATTCCATGTGTGTATATGTATATATATATAATGTCTTTTTTGTATTATAAGACTGTCAGTTCTTTTGGATTCTCCAATTAAATACATAGACCACCGCACAATTCTGTTCATGCAAATCGTTCTTTTATGCTGTGCCTGGCAGGTAAACTTAACAAACTTGCATTATCTCATGGCCCTAGTAAGTTATTCAATGGTCTTTTGAGTATTCTTTACCTGTCTCGGTCATGACATGGGCATCCCCTTTTGCTAGATCTCTACATACCTGTAGTCCAGCTACATGTGATCTCTGAATGCTTACTTGGGATGTTTGGGTCTTACAGGGTTACAGGGTGCTGGCTTGGAGCATAATCTCCAAGTCCCCTGATGTTCATATGAAAAGAAAGGGCATCTTTTCTGGTTGCTTTTCTAGTAGGTACACTGGAGCATCTGTACCCTTTGTCCAAGAGTGACAGGTTTCCAGTTTGTCAGTCTATGCCCGGTAGTTGAGAAGCTGAGACTTCCTTGCCTCTGTTGACTTAACATACAGCATGTGTGTTTCACCTAGGGGACAGGATGTGAGTGAATGGTTGCATTGACCCTTCTTAAAAGTTACTAGAGAAAGAATTCCAGCACTTGTGAACAGCCTAACTGAATTATCGCCTACTGGTAGTCAGTGACTTTCCTGAGTTTTAGAAACTGTTTTCTCAGAATCAGTTTCTGTAGCAGAACACTTGCTGGAGTAATAAAAACCACGATGAATCTTTATAAGAAGTGAAAAATCAAATTCTTGTTTTGGCTAAGCAGATATGAAATGCAAACACTAGTTGCCCAAATGCATTTCTGTTCTTTCCCTCTCCTTCACATCCGTCTTCCACAAGTCCCTTTTATGCTGCAGCAGCTTTACCGTCTAATAAAATGGTGCAAGTGTAACAGTAGAGATGCTCTTGTACTTGGCAGTCACCTCATGTTTGTAACCTGTTCTCAAAAGTATACATTTTGATGTTCAGGAGTTCAATTTATTGGAGCTTTTTCTGTGTCCTCTGCTGCCTTTTTCATCAAAATAAGTAAATATTTTTAATTATTAATTATTGTTATTATTATACATACATTATGTATCATAAAGCTATTCCTTGAGAGAATGACAACATATCACAGCTTTCATCTGTGTTAGGAGGGGAAATTGTCCTTGAGAAAATCCCATTCTTTAATTGCACATCTCAGAGTGCTAATGGAGAAACCAGTGTGTTATTGCAGAAGACTACATTATATCCTAATTCTTCTATGTTGGGGAGGAGGGATGTGGAAGTACAGCACATTTTTCATTTTATTAGCCACATACAAAGAGGAGGAGGGAAATCCTTCCCCCTCTCCTCAACCAAGTGATGTGATACAGTAGCACTTCGAATTTTAGAAACTCATCAACATCTTTCTCTGCCTTTATAGCTAAAGTAATGCAGAAATGATTGTTTTAAACTCGGACACTCGTTAAAGGGATAGACTAAAATTGTCAGTTTAAGAACGGGTAAAAATACAAGAGCAAGAAGAGTAAGAATGGATGTGATATAAGTAATTAAAGAACGACATAATGTTGTGGGTCTTGAGTTCACCCTGAAGAACTGTCACAAACCTGCTGCATTGTGCCCAACCTTTAGATCCTATTTGTTGCTAAGCAGCTGAGTCTATTTAGACAGGTGAAGAGGTACTGCTCCATCAGGGACACTCAAGGGCAGTTTCCTGGTCTTACTCAGCTCGGCAGCTGGCTCTTCTCAGCACCGTCGGGCGCGTTTTCTTCCCCAAAACAACACTCTATTAAGAGTGTGAAGAGGTAGAGACGAGTCACAGACAAGGAACATGCGAATAAAAGTTGGTGCGTGCTATTCACTCGGCAAAACCCACATCTGTGAGTTATAGAAAGGGAATAGATGAGTGAAGCCTCTCCACCCACCGCCGCGGGATATCAGCCGGGTGAGTTGGGGCGGGCAAGTCCGCTCTAGTGAGTTTCGAGTGACGAATGCACGATCGTCACTGTAGACAGCATTGGTGGTTCAGTGGTAGAATTCTCGCCTGCCACGCGGGAGGCCCGGGTTCGATTCCCGGCCAATGCAGTTACTTTTTCTTCCAGCTTTCTTTCTCTCCGCCTGATTGTTTGTGGGTTTTTTTTTTTCCTCCCTTTCCCCCCCTTCCTTAAAATTTAAAACCAAACCGGATCATCGCTGTCCCTAATAATGCTCAGACACCGACTTCTTGCCCCCCCGGCCGGGCAGACCTTCACCCCCGGCCTCGCCGGGCTGGAAGTGACGCAGCCGGATTTGCCTTCAAAAATTGCCGGCGGCAGGAGGGGGAGGTGGCGGGCAGGGCCGGGGGTGGGGTCGGGCGTCGCTGGAGGAGGAAGGGGGCGGAAGAGGTGGTGGAGTCGCAGCTGCTGCCGCTGTCGCCGCCGGTCCGAGCTCTGGAGAAGAGTAAGTGAGCGAGGGAGCCCCGCGGTACCTGCCCCGCGCCCGCCTGGCCGTGCGGGGCCGTGCGAGGCCGTGCGATGCCCCCGCTCGGCCCGGGCGGGGGCGATGCCCGGTCCCGCTCGGTGGGGGCCGCCCCGAGGGCTGCCGGGCGCGGGGAAGGCTCCGGCTCCTCCGTCCCGCGGCTGGAGAACGAGCGGCCCTGGTCGCTGCTGTCGCGACACCGGCCACCATTACACGGTGCTCGTCGGTGTTGTTGTGTCGAGGCTGTATCTCGCACGTGCTCGGCGCGGCATCGCCATGGTGTCCCTGAAGCCATCGGGAGGGGAGGCTGCTCCCTGCCCCGGGAATCCTCCTAGGTGGGCTACTGGGCACCGCGGGTGCTGGTTCAGGCACAGAACTCTGGTTCCCACTTTTCCCTTCACCCTCCACCTGTTTTGTTGTTTTGTTTTTTTTCTTAATGAAGTAGTTTGCAATGATCTGCAGTGATGTAAGTTTTCTCTCTAGATAGAGAGAAGCAATTCCACGTATCCATTTAGCTGCAGACCCTTCAAAACTTTCTGAGAAATTTGCTAATTTAGTATAGATCATCAAAAAGAATGCTAGCCCCCCATGAAATGGGGAGTAAGTAACGTGTTTAATCAAGTCTTTTGAAAGGCTTAGCCGGGAAAACATAAAATCATCTGCCACAAGTGTATCTCTGCCTAATGTTTGATTTAGGTTTTTTTCTTTTCCACGTCTAGGCATGCTTGTGTTCATGGTTGCTGGTGGTTCTTCTTTTGCTACCATTATTGTTAAATACAATAAGTGGATGAGAACCATTTTGTTTAGTATCCAATAAGTCTGGCAACTCTTCTCTTTCCCAAGTAATTAATGCAATCACTTCTTGATACCAAATGTTGCTAGCCGTGGATGTTATGAAGATGAGTATTAAGCTAGAAGGGAGCTCCAAGGTGATACCATCATGTAATCAGTAAAAATTGATTCCTGAAAGATGTTACTTTGGGGTATTTTTTCCTCATCTGGCTTGCTGAGAGAACTTTGCGAAATTTACATGATTGCTTTGATGTCAGAGCCTGTATAGCAGGCTGAAATAATGGAAACATGTGCGCTCTGCCAAAATTCAGGCTCTGGCTTAGTCCAGATATTAAGGTTGGACTGAAAGACTCTTGGAAATATTTTCCATGTATGTCTTGTGCTGTTTGCCAGGTCAGCAAGTCCGCTGCAGTAATTGATGAACTCCAACTTAAATCTTCACTTCCAACATTTGCATTATCAATCTCTTGATTTTTAAAGTTTGGGGGATTTCTTTGTGAAACACGATTGATGCAGTGTTTGGTTATAGTTTCCCAGATTCTAATGTATGACTGTGAGCAGAAATCAGTTATAGTCATTCCTTATGATAATTCGTTAAAGTCCTTATGATAATTTCTTTAAGTCCTTATGGAAAACATGAAGTGCCCCCAGTGTTTTCTTGATGATTATCTGTTACCTTTCAAATGAAATACAAAAATACGTTCCAAAACCTCATTCTCAAAAGTTGTAGGTATCTTGAACTTTGGTTAGGTTCAACCCTCTCTGCTCTTGGCTGTTCTGTACTCAAGAAGTATTTTAGGTCCTCTGAGCAAATGATAAAATGTATTCCCTAACTAGAGATGGGTTAATTTCAGGGAACCTTATATGGCCATAGTTAGTGTAAAGAGTGATTATTGGGAAGTGTGTGTTTGTACACAATGTAGAATTAAACTTGCAAGACAAAGTGCTTATTTTCCTTATATCCTGTTCACTGTAAATTTTATGAGCTCTTTACTATTTCAGTTGCTGTTGGAACATAGATAACTTCACTGGTCATGATTCATGGAAAGGTCGTGGCTGATAAGTGCAGCCTTGCAGCTTTGACATCCTGTTACGTGATAACACCAAGTATTTGTAAACACATGTGGTATTACTAAGTATTGAACACATGTGATATTACTTTAAAAATTATTAAGTGGTCAGGATTAGTTTTGTGGGTGTTTTAATCCCTTCGGTTCTGGTTTAACTCTAGATTTGTGTATGCTCACGCCTCTCCCACATGTGTCTTACACGCTACTCTGAGCTGCCACAGCATATGGCAACTTTCTGCTGCAAACTTTAACCTAGTTTCAGATTAGTACTCTAAGTCCTGTTTGTTTGTTTTTTCCTCTTAGAACTGCTTCAGCATCTTCAGTTACAGGTGCAGCAAGCCCATGGATTAGTGTATCAGCTCTAACACTGCCTGTGTTCAAGTGGCAGCATCAGTGACATGTCCAGACATAAGCAGAGCCAGCAGCTTTTTCTACCTCACTTGTACACGAGAGCCTTGTATTTGGAAGCCACCTCAAGCTCTCCTGCTCTTATGAGTCAAGATGAAGCAACAAATTAAATTGCTTTTCTAGTTTCAACTAAATTATTTTGCATTTTCAATACCACTCATGAAACAGATAGATTCGAATACCATTATAAACTTGAGTGAGCACCTTCTTTTTTTTTTTTCCCTACATGAGTTGCTAGCTCATTCTGCTTATTCTTCTGTTTCTACTTTCTGTCCTTACTTTTTCTGCCTTTTCTAACCTGAAAATCTCATTAACTCTTTTATTATGTGCAGTGCTGTCATTTTGGTCCCAAGCTTTCGTATCTTTCTGACTTAGCCTCTTTAGGTGTTTTTTTTCCTTCTAGCTATTTTCAGATGAAAACTGATATTACAGGCTGTTTTGTTTGTGGGGTTTTTTTTCTCAATACATAAACAGAATTGCTGTTCCACTTGGATTGCTCTACAGGATTCAGTGTAGAAAAAAAAGTTATCTATGACCTCTCTTGGCTTTTAAAAGTCTAGTTTGGTTATAGTAACTTGCTATTACTTGATTTTTAAACTGTTTATTAGCATCTTGCTCAACCTGTGATTTCAGTAGTGTTAATCACGGGTTTGAATTCTCAGGACAGGCAAACAGGTGTTTCTGGTAGGATGAGCAAAAGTGGAAAAGCTTGCTCCTAAATTTAGCAGGGAAAACTTTGGTAATATCTGTGTGATGATCCATACAGCAGTTGACAAACATCTTCAGGCTTTCTTCTCCTGAGGTTAAAACCAACAAAACTCCCAAGTCAAACTGTGTGTCCAAACCCTAATTAGCCTGGGATATGTTAGCCTTTGTAGTTGCTGGTCACATTAACTGTATCAGCTTGTAGACATCATGGCCAGCTCAGCAAGTCTCTGGCCAGAGTGAGATTACATAATGTAGGTTCTGTGATAGCAGGTTTCCAAGCTCAGCCCCACGGGTCCCTTCTGTATGGATGGGTGTAGGCTGTTGGAGGCCTGTCTTCAGCTCCCTTGCTGCTAGAGTTTTGCTGGTTTGGACTGAAAATTTTCACAGCAGCTATCTGCTCCAAGGGAAGGTGGGGAAGAAAGAGGAAGGAAGCAAAAAAGAGAAGGATGTTGGCTCAGGAATGCCTCAACTGTGTGTCTGTGTGTAAAGCTACTTGGGAAGGGGACAGAAAAAGGAGTGCAAGTCTTAAAATGTTTGATTTGTACTTCACAGCCCCTCTTTACAGTGGAGAGCTAACATTTTAGTATTAGGTTGACAGGTGTGTGCAAAGTGCGGCTTCTGAAACCTCTGATGTGGCCGAATTCGACCCTGACCTCATCTTGAAATGTGTTCAGTCTTAAGTCTGTTTATTGCGCATGAGTACCTCTTACATTCTTTAAATAGTTGATCTGTATCAAGTATGCTTCATCCCAGGGCTTAGCTGTAATTGCTTGTCTGCAGTTGCTTCTTACTGGCACTGGGTACAGGTACCAAAATGAGAGCAAGATGACTCTCTTGCAGGCGTGTTTAATTGTTTATTTTATTGTTTTCTGTGCTTGGATAAGGAAGTAGAAGGAGAGTGGGGAAATGCTTGATGTGCAGGAGACAAGAAAAGCAGAGACAGTGAAGATATCATAGAGAAGGGCATGGGATGTATAAGAAACTTGGAAGAACATGGAACAACTGCTCTATGGACAGTGGCAACTGCAAAGAACAAGTCTACTGCTTCTACTTACTACTGTCTTTGTATAAATAATACTTCTGTGCTATTCTAATCTAAAAGTGCAGATTCTGCTAGTACTGCAAAGTGGAAGTGGTCGCAATCATTGATGATTGCTCCAAAAGCCCACAAACTACTGCTGCTGGTGGAGAAATGTAGCATGGTTTGAACAATATGTTAAATAAAGTGGATCATCACACATTACACATTTAATCGTACATCTCCTTACCTTTCAGTGCTAATTTAGCAGCCTCAATATGTTTCAAGTGTTCCTTTTTAAGTGTCAAAGTGAAGGTGATAGGAACGTGCAAGCTGGGCATAGAAGGTGTATATTTGTTTCTAACAAACATTAAATAAAATTCAAGAGTTGTAAAATCAAACTAATGGAAGAATAGTTTTTTCCACAAGGCAAAATAAGACTGTTAAAACTTACATGCATGGAATGTTAAGGCAAAAAAAAATAACAAAACGTAATACATCTGGAAAAGGGTTTCATTTGTTGCTTATTGGGAGGTTTTTTTAAACCACAGATGAGCACAGCGAAATACTAGTTTATCTTACAATAGAATGAAAAGGGAAGGATGCATTTGTGGCTTGCAACAGTTGTATTTATATCTGCTAATCTTGTATGGGCTTTTCAACAGAATCTCCATGGCAAGAAACAATGCTGTGATGTGAAGAGTTTCATTTCTAGTAACAGAGCAACAATTACCGTTTTATATGGATGACATTAATTTTAGGGCTTTTTTTTCTAACTGAAACTTTTCCAGCTTCTATATTTTGTTATGCTAAATGAGGTAATGAGCGTATGAAAATAGTTGCAAAAAATTGTTCTGCTGCTGGGATTTTTTTTCTTTCCTTAATGTCTTCTATTTTTTTCAGCTTCATGTTGAACATGAGCCTTGTTATGATCATTGAGAATGTAAAGTTGGCCCGTGAATATGCCTTACTGGGAAATTATGACTCTGCAATGGTCTACTACCAGGGAGTTCTTGACCAAATGAATAAGTATCTGTACTCTGTGAGAGATGCCTATCTGCAGCAGAAATGGCAACAGGTAAATATTACTTTTCTGGGGCATTTTGTGGGATAAGCATTAAAGTAGCAAAAATTGCCACTCTTATTGTAAACAAAAGTATAAAAATACTTAAACCATTCTCTGATAAATTAGTGCTGTTATATATAGGCTTCTTTTTTATTATATAGACTTATTTAAGTCATCTTTATGACTTCTTTCTCTGTCAGTGACAAAAAAGTCAATGGAACACAGCACTGGGGAGCCAGTGCACTCTGACTTGTCAGCTTCTTGCTGATGAGTGCCCCTGTAATGCTGAAGTTTTGTAGTCTGGTATCATTTGGGTCCTGTTTCCCTCAATGTTTTAGTATGACTAAGGTCCTTAATAGAAAGTGAGTTGTGGCTACCATGGTAATTTGTCCTTAACACAAACCAACATTTTTTTTCATTGATATTCAGTCTGATGAGTTGATACTTTTGATTGATATTTAATCTATTAGGTTCTGTCATACTTGTTTAATATCCAAAATTTGTAAAAAAATCTCTTTTGTTAAATCTAAAATCTATTTGTTTATTCTTTAAATGTGCTGAGGAAGGCAGAAAAACCTCCTCAATATGTAATGTGCATAATTCTTGTTTATTGAAGTAGAATTAGGTAGCTCATTAAACCCTGTAGAATCTATCCAGGCATTACATGAGTTTGAACAGAGAACTGTTACAAACTTATTTCCAATGTGCTTAATCTACTTCTTTTTTTTTTTCTTAATCAGGTTTGGCAGGAAATAAGTGTGGAAGCTAAGCATGTGAAAGATATAATGAAAACACTGGAGAGTTTTAAATTAGACAATACTCCATTGAAAGCCTCACAACAAGAATTACCAGCTCATGATGCAGAAGTCTGGTCTTTGCCAGTACCTGCTGAACGTAGGTAAGAGGAAACCTGAAGGCCTAAATTAATATTTATCAGGACAAAGTGTGCTTTGACTTCAGCCTGTTGTGGTGTAATTTTTGTTCTAGAACTTACATGTGTAATACTTGCAGCTTGCCACTGTTTGTAGTGAAGGAGATGCCAGAATGTTCTGAGGGTTTTATCTTCCATGGCATGACTAATGTCAAGCTTCTTCCCCTCGTTTAATAACTTTGAAACACTCCTAGCCAATTTCATTCAAACCCTCTGGAAGAATAGAGCCTGAGAGGTAGAACTTTCCTAGTGTTTTGAAGATTTCTAGAGAAAATATACAAATTCATGTTACTAAAAAAGGAAAGTCCTGAGAGAACTGTTTCTGTTCCATTTATCTTGCCAGCTGCTGAAGTACTGAATTGTAGCAATATGAAAAAGCCGCAGTGAAAACTTGGGCCATATTGTGTTGGAATAACTGCAGTAAATTCCCATACTGAGATAGCAGAACTCAAAAATTTAGGTGGAAATTAGACGTGGAATTGCACTATTCCTTTATTTTGAGCTTTGGAATGGCATTCAGAGGTGGCTAGGTGTTCATAAATATAACAGTAGGTTGGTAGATACTCCATTTGGAGAATGAAAATACTCTAACATGATCTTAGCATCAGCATATCTGTGTAGTTTAATATGCATTTTATCCTGAAGAGAGATGTACTGCTCTGACAAACTCACTGCTGTGAATCAGTTAAAGACAACTTCTGTAAAGATGCTGGATCCTTGACACATCTTAAATGATGTGTCAGATCACATCATCTAGTTTCAGTAGTGCTCTCCAAATACAGTCTTACATTTACTGTTCTCTGGAAATATCCCTGACCTTTTACCTTGACTCATAGCTTATTAATGCAGGAATTTTAGGAAAGCCCATGGAAAAAGTGTATCTGAGAGTAACGGACACGTATAGAAAAGAAACTTAATTTTAAAAAAGAAATCCGTAATACCAGTCGTAGTATCGGTTTGTTCACGTGCTTCTAAAATTAGTTTCGTTTCAAACAACTGGAAGCATCACATAGACTTTTTTTCTTTCAAAGGAATTGGGCGTGAAAGGAAATGAAAGTAGAATTGTCATTCCCAAAAAACTTTTACATTTCTTTGTGTAGGGAAGTGAGGACTGTTGTGGTAAGGAGAATTTTTGGTTTGTTTGTTATTTTTTTCCTAAGCTCCACAATACTAGAATTACTTTTACTGATAGAATATGCAGGCAAGGAGCTTGTTTTAAGCAAATGAGCCCTGCTGAGTTTGTGACCAAGGGAAAATGGATTTTTAGTGACTGTCTAGAAATGTTTGTCTTGTTTCTGACATTACCTTGAGCAAAAGGCTTTGCAGTTTGTAACCACTTGATATGTAGTGCTCACCAGTGACTTTACACTGAGGCTTTTTGCATATGTTACAACTAATTAGACCTTCGCCAGGACCCAGAAAGCGTCAGTCTGTTCCATGCAGTGATTGCCGAGGTCACAATAATCGTGTAAGTGCAGCTGTCAGAGGCCCTCACCGTCCATCCTCTCGAAATCCCAATGATAAAGGGAAGGCAGTCCGCAGCCGGGAAAAAAAGGATCAACAAAATAAAGGAAAAGAGGAAAAGGTAAGCTTCATGGAGTTGAGAAACTCAGTCTTTCTTTCTTTCCTAGTATTGAGTGTATTATAGAATTAGATGCCTAAAAATATTTCTTTTGTTCAAGTCAGTGTGCCAATTTGAATCTCTCACCTTGTAAGATGTCTTTGCTTTGTGGATAGTGTTGGTTATGGATGAATTAGAAACAAACAGATGCTCTTCTGGAAGAAGTGATCTGGTAAATGTATCAGAAAGGAAGGTATCGAGAGGATGGAGCCAGGCTCTTCTTGGTGGTGCCAAGTGATAGGACAAGAGGCAACTGGCAGAAACTGATGCACAGGAAGTTCCACCTGAATATGAGGAAGAAATTCTTTACTGTGCGGGTGACTGAGCACTGGAACAGATTGTCCAGAGAGGTCGTGGAGTCTCCCTCACTGGAGATATTCTAGAACTGTCTGGATGCAATCCTGTGCCATGTGCTCTAGGATGACCCTATTTGAGCAGGGAGGTTGGACCAGATGACCCATTCTGGTCCTTTCCATCCTTACCCGTTCTGTGACTTGTTTACTGCAACTTGGATATTTTAAACTGAGATTGACTTGCTTCTTCCAAAGCACTTCAAGATTTATGTAATCCTAAAAGGAGAACTTTACTTTTTTTGTTTTGGTGGGGGTTTTTTGTTTATTGTTGTTCAGATCTGATGTTAGTTCCAGTTAGTTTTCAATTTAAAACAAACAAAAACCCAACATACTTCATGAGAGAGAATAATCTATGATCTATTCTTTGAAATCAGACTGCTTTAATTTTTGCTTTGTATCTCCATAAATTTAGCTGATCACCAGAGTAAGAGATCATACAGAAGGCACTAGAATCGTAGTTTTCCAGGGTCTGAATAAATCCAGTCTCCATGTAATAGCTTCAGCAACCTTATGTTGTGGCAAGGTGTCATGGCCTGTGGAGATAGTACAGGGTGGAACTGTTTAGCTATGTAAGCTACTACTTTTATTAGGAGCTCACTCAGGATATACACACAGAGAGACCGGATAGGACTTTTTTTCTTTTTTACAGTTGTTCTGTCATCACCAGTGCTTGCTGTTAAGTGTATAAAAAAATGGGGTATGTCTAGTGCATTTTATTTCCTCTCAGTTGCATGGTCTCTGCTGTTTTTGAGCCCTTTCAACTGTCTAGCTTCTTTGCTTCGGCTCTACTGCAGAGCTGCTTCTCTGCTGTTCATGTCCATGCTTCTATATCAGTTAATTAGTTATTTTATTACTTCTATGGTCTTCCTGCAGATCACCTTTGCTCATTCTACATGGAAATCATGCTTACTTTTTTTGTGTCCCGTGTATATGGCATGTATATGACACTTAGAGGATTTGAGATACCTAGGTCAGTGTGACTTTATGGTTCCAGTCTTACACATAATTTCCCCTTATCCAGCTACTGTCTCAGATAGTTTTTGGTTTTTCTGGGAGAAGAGGCAAAAACTGTTAAGTGGGATAGCTGTATGCAGTTTTTATGAAGTACTAAGCCAGCGGTACAATATGCTGGCTTTGGAGAGGAGGAAATGGAACTGGGGCAGTACAGGAATCTGGGTGAAACACACAGATCTTGCAGTGCAGCTGTAATACAAGTGCTTTCATAGTTTTTCATGCTGGTTTATGTTGCCGCCTTCTAGAAATACGACGCTATTGTGGACTTGTTATAAAATCCATTAGTAGCATAACCATTGCTATGTATTTATGTTGTTGTATCCTTTATATGTAGAACAAATCCACATCTGAGATTTCAGAGTCTGAACCAAAGAAATTTGATAGTACTGGATACGACAAAGATTTAGTAGAAGCTTTGGAAAGAGATATAATTTCTCAGAACCCCAACATTCGATGGTAAGTTTGAGTACTGCTGCTAGTCTTTCTGAATTGTTGTTTCTATTTCCTCTTATACAGTATGACAAGAATTAAGTATTTTAACATATACTTACATATAAGAAGTACCTACAGGTTTTCCTTACTGCTTTAAACAGGCATCTAAACTTCATAAGAAGTTTAATATTTTTAGAGCATCTTTTTTCCATGCATAGATTTGTAGAATAGTTTGGGTTGGACAGGACCTTTAAAGATCAGTTCACCCAATCCCCTGCCACGGGCAGGGACATCTTTCCCTAGATCAGGTTGTGTAAAGCCCTGTCCAATCTGACCATACAAAGCTTCTCAAACTTTTCTAAGAGACCTAAAATCAATTTTTGAGATACTCTTTTGCAGTGTAAAAGTTTCTAGTGTATGTCAGTGTCTCTTCATTTGAAAAACTGTTTTACTACGCAGGGGCATATCAAGACAGAAAACTGTTTAACAAAGAAATTATGTCAATATAGGAACCCTTTGAAATGTTGATGGATGTGATGTGGCTGCCAGTATAAAATATAACCCTGTGCCAGTACCTTTACATAAACGTGTTAAATATTAAACGTTATACAAAGGATGTTTTGTATTCCAAATGTTTTCAAGCTCAGGTGGTTTTGTGAGGATTAAATGAGCAAAAATCTTCTGTCAAATAAAGTAGGCTTTAAAAAAAGTTAACACTCCCAGAAAAACTTGGTGTGCATGCAATTGTCATGTATTTCAGTTTAATATGTAAATACATGTTTCAGTTTTTATATGGAATCTTAAATTATGACTTCAGATTTGAAACTAATTCTCCATATAGATATGCTTTGAAACCAAAGTATTATTTGGGCACATGCTGATAAGAGGAATGCCCTGAGAGTTACCCTCAAGAAAATAAGACCAGCCTATAAAGTACCTAAGAATTAGTACATTTGTAACTCTGAAAAAGAATTCTGAAAATTCTGTTTAATTCTGCTCCATTTACTGGTCTTCAGCAAGTTGTTCTTGTAACAATGAAAGATGGTATTTAAGTTTCAGGGACACCCAATCTCTTGGCAAAAGAAGAAAGCATAATCTGTAGCTTAGTTTATCCTCTAGCATAAATTTAACCAACTTGCTCTATTCTGCTTAGCATTCTGTGAATGCCAACAGTGGCGCTCTAGTGAAATAGTTAATGTCCTTTTTTTTGTTGGATTTATGGGAGAGCCAATACATAACGATAAGTTTAATTGCATAATTTTTTGAGCTGTGGACTGATTCTTTTGCATCCTGTCTGAATCTGTCAAACAACTTTCTCTTTCTTGTCAGGGATGACATTGCTGATTTAGTAGAAGCCAAAAAGCTGCTTAAGGAAGCTGTAGTTTTACCCATGTGGATGCCAGAGTTTTTTAAGGGAATTAGAAGACCGTGGAAGGTATGAAAAAGTTTGATCCTGTGATCATAATTAGGATTCTGAGATTGGATCTTGGCAGAACAAGAAATTTCGAGTATTTTACAGTTTATATAAGTTCTTTCCACTCTTTAGCAGCAAAACTATGGTAAATAGTACCAACCAAATAAAGATGTCAGCCAGATACACACACTGTCTTCAGCTGTATTGTTTCGGGTAAGCAATAGTAATTAATACCTACCTTTGAATAACTTCTCAAGGGAAAGTTTACATCCATTGTTTTACTATTGCACTACTAAATAAACTGTAAATTCCTGTGGTTTGATTCTGGTCTTAAAAATGGTTCTTTTTATTTTAATAGGGAGTTCTGATGGTTGGTCCTCCTGGTACTGGAAAGACCCTCCTAGCAAAAGCTGTAGCCACTGAATGCAAGACTACTTTTTTCAATGTTTCTTCTTCCACACTTACCTCAAAATACAGAGGAGAATCTGAAAAACTTGTTCGTCTGCTGTTTGAAATGGTGATTGAAGTTTCTGAATATGAACAGTGAGATAATGAAGAAGAATCTCTTCCAGAATAGTGAAACCTTGCCAAGGTTTCAAACAGTATGCACAGACAACTCTCCAAGCTTTCAAATGCTTTATGCCTTTCTGATTTGCCTGTTTACATTTCAAGATTATTCCTAAATAGCTTTATAAAAGCTGAAAAATTAGGTCATCTTTTGATTTCGGGACTAGCTTGCTACATTAGAGGGAGCTCGCTATAAGTTAATGAGTGATGCAGAATGTGCTTGAATATAAAACTAAGATGAAATTAATTGCTTTCTGGGTCTGAACCCTATTTAGGCTTTGTGCGTTTTGTTGTTGTTATGGGTGGGTTTTTGGGTTTTTTTTATGCTTAGAATAAGTGGACTTCCAAACTGTAGTTGGCTTCAGAGCACATAAGATTTGAAATTGGCTCAGAAAATAGTAATTTTTCTTTTTTTTTTTTGTCATGTGTTACCAAGTTTGTATGCAGTGTTTGTTAGGGTGTCCAGTTCTGGGGAGGAGCAGCAGAGTTGCAATTACAGTAGTCAGAAAAGTCAGGAAATAAAAGATCTTTTACACAGTAGTTTGATAGGCATGATATCAACTCATTTAATATGATTGATCGAAAATGTATATACACAATGAATACTATCTCAACTGTTTTAAGACAATAGCCTTTATTATTGTAGATCCTTGTCTTTGACTTCCCTTGTTTTCAAAAGGGTCAGAGTTATTTTGCAGTTGACCTGGTTCTTGGACAGGTTCCATGTCATGGTGTCCCAGCATAACATTCATTCTTGCTCAGACTGAAATCTTATTCAGGCATTCTGTGATGACTTTCACAGTTATAAATGTTAGTCCTAATGTGGAAAACTGTGTTTAGCTCATTAAATGTTTGTTTATAGCCCTAACAATTACAGGACTTTGCCAAAAGCTGTTCTGCTCAAATGCACAGCTGCTCTATACCAGTGTGCAGTGGTCCAAGAGAGGGAAGATTGGGAATTGTTTGATACTTATGAGCTGATTGAATGGGGTAAATATGTCTCTACTCAAGTCTGAATATGGTGCTCTTAAATGGGAGTAGACTGCTGCTTCAGCTTCCACTTTGTCTTTGCTTTCTTTAGGCTCGATTTTATGCCCCAACAACTATATTTATTGATGAGATAGACTCTATCTGTAGTCGAAGGGGAACTTCGGAGGAGCACGAAGCCAGCAGACGTGTGAAGGCAGAGCTCCTGGTTCAAATGGATGGTAAATAACCTGATTACTGGGAAGTGCTGGACTGGAGGAAACTTGAGGGACCCAAAAAAAAACCCCACATTGAAAACTTCGTTCTTCAGAAGCAGTTTTGTCAAAGCCTTACATAGAATTGGGTTAGAGATCTACAAATGCACTACTCCAATCATTGGTGTGGAAGGAAAAATTATTTAACAGTCTTTTAGCTTCTGAGCTATGACCTTATATTAGTGACCCAGAATAATGAAGTTTCAGTGGAAAATACAAGATTTCAAAACAGCAGAAGAAAAAAAAGTAAAAAGTGTTTCAAAAGAACTGCCACCTGTTCCAATTTAAACTTCAAAGGCAATCAGTACACTTATCTTCTTTGGGATCTCCTTTTCTCTTAAAGATACAATCAAAAAATGAAGACTTTTTGTATAGAAGTGGTTTAGAGAGTTTTCATTTTAGAACACTGAGTTTATTACAGCTATTTGGTTAATATTTCACAAATCAACAAACTTCAAAAGTAGGTAATACAGTGCAAAGTTTCTGTAGAGGTATCCTTTTTATACTCTGGTGAGCAGAGAGAAGGAAAGGAGTAAATGAAAAATGCTACTCTGTGGGATGATTTGTGATAGAATTCCATGAATCGCAACATCTGTTTATTTATTTCTCAGTCTCTGATGTTGATACCCTTTTATGTTTGATTTTAAATAGCAGCAGAGCTGTAATACTGTTCTCATGTCAAGGATGTACATAATCTGAATTTATTAGTAGCAACTATTTGAATCCTTTTACTTGAGCATTCATAAATGGTGTTTTATCTGCAGATTCTCTGGCAGACTAGGTACAATGCCTATCCCATGGCCCAATCCTATAATTATAAACGAAAGCCGGAAAATGCAGAGAGTAGCAAGTTTAATGAAATTACCTTCTTCCTGTTCCAGCAGATTCATAGTGTTTAGAAAGTGGGGTGGTCTCCCTGTCTCTCAGAAGTTGTGATTTAGTCCACTCAATTTAAACATTAACTCCAGCAGTTTGTAAGAATCCATCTGCATATATGAAACCTTTGGCCTGTATTCAGAACTGAAGAAACTTTGTAAGGAAGTAATGCTGCTCTTGTGTGGCTGTTAGTGAATACTGTGGGGGAATGTCTGTTTTAGAGTGTAGTGATGGTTCTGGAGAGTTGTTTTGTTTTTCCTCACATGCTGTTATAAGATGTTGATATGAAAATTGAAATGCTCTAATGGCAGAAATGCATACAACTCTGCTGTAAAACCATTCTAACCATGATAGAGAGGAACTTCCTGATCTCAGCAGTGGCCTATGCCACTGCTCCTGTTTAAACCAAGTTTCCGTTTATGTTTGCAGACTGTCATAGAGATGAAAAAGTGAATTCTGTTGCACTTGGCGAGTCTGTTATGCTTGGACTTACTAAAGTGCAATAGAGTAACTGCTTTAATATTATGGAACTATGGATACTGTTCTCTCTATACATGAAACTTCTATGTATGTTTTACTTTCTCTTTTCTCTATTGCAGGTGTCGGAGGGGCTACTGAAAATGATGATCCTTCTAAGATGGTCATGGTACTTGCTGCTACTAATTTTCCTTGGGATATTGATGAAGCCCTAAGACGGAGACTAGAAAAGAGAATTTACATTCCTTTACCATCAGGTATGAAGAGTTGGGGAGAGGAGTGGTTAAAAAGACTAAAATCTAAACTTTATCAATATTCCTTTAGTTTTGATTGCCCGATTTAAAAATCTAATTGATACATGTAAGCAAATGCACTTACGGATTCAGGACCAGGTGAAATCTAAACATGAAATTTACCTTTATAGCAAATATACTATCCTTTTTCTCATTCTTCCCTCTTATCACTCTTCAATTATTATTTATCTTCAGAGAGCAAATTGTATAGTCTCAATTTTCTTTTCATTTATTAGCAAAAGGTAGAGAGGAACTCCTAAAAATAAATCTGCGAGAGCTGGAACTGGCTGATGATGTTGACCTTGCAAACATAGCTGAGAAAATGGAAGGTTATTCAGGTGCAGACATCACCAATGTATGCAGGTAAGTTAACATTGAATCATTTGCGTTACTATCGCTACACACTGCAAGAAAACTGTTTGTAAGGTAACCAAGTTACATGATTAAAGTTGTTGGATAAAAATGGACTGCAACTTGTCTTTTATGTATGGCTAAAAGGTGAAATACTGCGTTAATATTTACCTAAGTTTCCATTTGAAGAGCAGTCAGTTGCAACATAGTAATTTAAATAAGCTATGATTTAGGTAAAATTCCGCGTTCTTTCGTGTAGACTAAATTCCTTTCATGAGGAATATCCACAGGATGGTAAACTTTAACTTGTAGATTTGCAGTTATTCCACTGGGGTTACACTTCTGCAGAAATTCATATGTAGAGAGGTGATAGTGGCAGTGGCCAGAGTACCTAAGTAACAACACAGAGCATTCTTCCTTCATGACACAGAAAAGGTGTTGTGTGGTGGTACAAGAGCTCTGTACTCAGCACAGTGGCTATTGTGATGAGGCGGACCTAAGTTTTTTTTCTGCCTCCCCCATTTCTCCTTCTCCATACTGTTGACATACAATCATTTGTGAGCCTGTTCTCAAACCTAGATTGCTGAAATAATTGACTAAAAATACCTTCTAACCCTTCCTCTATATTTTCTTTCAAAAACTGAAAAGGAGAGGACTGATCTTCAGTCATGTGGTTTACATCAAAAGACTTGCACTGGCACAGTTGCAGCAGTGGCACATTATGGAATTGCCAGGAAGGGACAGGGAACTGAAGCTTTTTAAGATGATGATGTTATCTGATAAGCACCTGTGTAATGATGCTTTCAGGCTTTGGAGGTAGCACTGTGGTGTGGCAGGGCAAGGCTTGAGCTCCTCGTTGTGCCATCCAACCCTTGTGGTGCTGTACTTTGAACAGGATGAGAGAGCTGTTCTGGATTAAAAACACCTTCTCATTATTTCCTCAAATGCGAATCTGTTTCTTGCCTAGATTCCTAATAAGGCTCTGCAAACATGTGTCAGCACAGCTGAGAGGACAATATGCTGTGCCACAGGGATGAATGCAAGTAGCCTGTACACAAAACTGCCACCAAAGGCTCTATCAGCAGGGTCGCTTAAGGCTGAACTAAGAATATGGAGCCTCAGTACGGCTTCCTGAACAAACCTTGTGCAGTGTCTGGGAAAAGAATGGTATGTTAGTTGCTTTGAATCTGTGTTGTGCAGATTTGTTTCATTTGTAGGTTTGTGAGATGAATTTGTGGTGTTCTTTTGATCAGTCTTGGTCTTGGTGTTGGTTGTGCTCTGAAAGGAGCTTGTGCTAATAGTTTCATGTCATATAAAAGAGTTTATTTGGTCTGCTACTTTGTGCATTTTAGCTGTACTTTGTCTCCTCCGGTCTGTTTAGTGTTTTTTTGTGAATAATTTTAGACTGAATATCAATACATTTGTTTAAAAGTCAGAATACTTTTAATATTTTTCAGTGAATTACATATGTGTATATATATATATGCACACACTGTTACTTCTGATTTTTTTACCTAAAGTCCCTTTGTACAAATACTATTAAACAAAACAAAAGCAAACCAACAGATGAAAAAACTAAAAAGAAACACCTGAGTCTTTCATTTGTGGCAGTCTTCTAAGTGATAACTGAGGTGGCAGCAAGCATAAATCCAGATGAACTGAGGTTTGGATTCACATGATTTGAAATTACTTAGGAAGTACTCCTATTAGCCTGTGTATTTAAACTTTTTTCATAGTGTCAGGAGAAACAGCTCTTGGATATGATTGTTTCATTAACACGGAGTCAGAAAGATGTGGCTGATTTAAGTGCTTTTGTATGGTTCAGATTCACAATATGTAAGCATAGTGAAGTTCAAACCAGTAGACTATGACAGTCCTTGCTAGTGCCACAAGCACAACCAAAGAAAAAGTGGCCCAAGACGAGGTTTACTGAAATTACTCCCCCATCTTAAAGAAATTGAAGTTCAGAGTTTGCTGAGCCAGAGTGAAAATCAGTCAGAGGTTACAGTATAGTTTCTAATAGTCAGCATATAACCATGGAAAATGAAGGCAAAACTTTATTTTAAAGTTACATTCAGGGAGTGCAAAATGCATCTGAATTGCGTATTAGATTGCATATGAATTGACTTTGAATCGTTGTTTTGAGAGGGCTGTGAATGTTGAAAGGCCTTTTGAACAGAACTGGCCCCTGCTGCATCTTTCAGTGGGTGGCTGCTTGTTTTTTTGAATACAGTTTTGGTGCTTCTCCAGGCACCAAGAATGCGTTTGAGAAAGCACTGAGAGTTCATGTTGGAATGACTGTCGATAAAATGACTTTACAAAAGGAAGTGGTGGCAGCTGCACTTCAGTTGTGTGGGTGTGTTGAGGTGTGGTGGGCTTGTTGGTTTGGTTGGTTGGGTTGGTTTTGCTGGATTTTTTTTTTTTTAACTGCTGTATGGAAGCAAATTAGATGCATGGAATGCTCCCCCTCACCATTGTGTAACACTGGCTTTTAGTTCACAAATGATGTTATAACAGCAAAGCATGGGGATATTTGGCTAAGATAGAATTCAACAAGGCAACTTCTTGGGGTTGTTCTGAAATTCTAGTTCCTGTATTATGCATTTTAATTTCTTAATTAACAGTTATTTAGTATGTTCATGAAGTCTGTCAGTTATGATTTTCTTTAGGGGGTGGGGTTGGTGCTGAAACAGAATATGCTGAAACCATCTTTCTAAATCCTCCTAGAACACAATGTGCAAGTTTTTTCTCTTTGGATTCTCACCTGCTAATGTGATATGATACACTGTTGTGATATCAGTGGGATTACCCTTCCATTTTTTTTTTTTTACTACTAGACAAATAAGCAGCATTTTCTTAAAAGCTATATAATGATGAATTAGGAGGAACTTTAGTCTCCCAGTGTTATCTGTCACCTCACCAGCTCACCACCTGCTGCTACTAGATTTACTGCTGGAAATCTAAATGCAGTCAAACCTAATGCAGAAAGAAAATGACACACTTTTAAAGACACTTAATGTTCATTGAGGCCAGAAGTTTGAGGAGCTACAGATGAACAGATTTTGTCATTTAGCATTTTGCTGGTTGGAGGTAGATACTGTTGACTGTCTTTGAAGCAGGTTTCCTATTCAAACCAGGAAACATTCAAAATGCTCCAGCTACTCCTGCTATATCTAGGAGGAGTGAAATTGTTACTTTTGCCTTGTTTCTGTTTAAAAATTCAGTAAACAGCGGCTACATCATAGGCATTAGATAAACTGGTCAATCATCACCTCTTTTGCCTAGCCTGTGAGTACTAGCTATTCAGACATCCAGTGAGGATAAATCCATGTCTGAAAAATGTGGATAGCATTTGGAGATCTTGATATAAAAATTTACAGTTCTTTATTCTATCTTTTTGAATGCAACAGCTTAACTGGAATGGTATGTTGAGCCTTTCAAACAACTGAACTCACTGTCCTGCATTGAGTAAACATTTATTTCTTTTTATTTCTTACCTTCCTGAATAGAGATGCATCATTGATGGCTATGAGAAGGCGTATTGAAGGCTTGACACCAGAAGAAATAAGAAATCTTCCCCGAGATGAAATGCACATGCCAACAACTATGGAAGACTTTGAAATAGCTTTGAAGAAAGTTTCTAAATCGGTATCTGCTGCGGACATTGAGAAATATGAGAAATGGATAGCTGAATTTGGATCATGTTGAGTTGTCTTCTCTTTATGTCTTAAAACAGCTTTAGATGTAATCAGTGGTGTTTCAGTGCACTGCTGCTCTTTTTAACTTTTGTAATTTAAGAGCAACAGATGTCTCAATAAATTTTTTTTAAATGCAAATTTTGTCTAGCTCTCTTTTAACTTGCTCAAAAGTCACCAGTTTTTCTCAAATGCTGATGGTATCTGCTTTGATTTTCAAGATTACTTAAATTTAATACTAGAACTCTCATATCAGAGTATTTACTCTTAAAATATTGCTGTAACACAAAAAAAACCCAAAAAACAAAACCAAACTAGCCCTGCTAAATAAGTAAGGGATGCTGAGAACTGGGAAACAGGAAGAACGAGTTGGTTACAAAGACAGTTTTCCTATCTGATCTTGGAGAATTCTACCCTCAAACTGTTTTTAAGGTATTACTAAGGAACCTGTGCAAAGGTTGAGATGTGGAACAGCAGCCCTTGTGCTGTAACGCTTAATAGAGTCAACTGAAGTTTAAGCAAGGGGTAGGATCATTGTGGTGTCTGTTAAATGATATTAAAATACATCCAGCCAGTGTTAACTAACTCTGTGTGGTCAGTGGTGACGCTGAGTCACATGTGAAGTCTCCTTGTAAGTCTAAGAGAAAACAAAATCTTTCTGATGTTAATTCTGAAATATGTTTTTCTTCCTTGACTGTATGGTACTGTAAGGGTCAGAACTCTAGACTGGTAGGTTGGGTCCTGGCTTACACGTTTATTTTGGTAAGGCTGTTCTGATAAGGCAGCATGTGTTACATTTGTGCTCAATTGATAACCCTGACTTAACAATTGACAAAAAATCTAAATTCTCTTTTTTCATTACTTGGTAAGTAGAATGTAGAAGCAGCTCTCTGAGAATGGTTCTACGGTGACCATCTAGGTAATAATTTTAGATTTTTCTCTACAATGATAATTGTAACTAAAACAGCTATAATTTCTATCCATCTGCTACTACTTTGGAAACACTTCTTTCTGCTAGCTCCTCCCACAGCAGGCAGCTGTAGTTCTGCTTACAGATAAACTTTTATGCTTTTTCATTAATAAAATAGGTCCAGACTTGTTTCAGATGGTAGATACATGCTATACGAAACTGGCTGTGGAATTCCTGCTCATGTGTCTCTTTAGATGCTGCAAGGCAGCCAGGAAGGACAAATGGTAACGAAAAGTTGCAGTCTGAGTAGGAGGCAAGTACATCTCAAAGATAGAGTTGTGTAAATGCCATTATTGTGAACATCTTCTGTGTACTTAAAATTCATCACTATGTTGTAAGTGACAGCTGGACACACTGAAAAGGGACTTCCAGCAGTGTCAGCGATGAGACAATTTAGTAAAACACTGAGATCTTGTGAGAGCTCCTACACCCCTGAGGGAACCTGGCAGAAATGAAGGAAAGTTCAGGTGAGTACACAAGTGTGTGCATTTATACTTCCATTTCCAAAGTGGAAAACTGATTTACTTCTTTCATTTCAAATGGATAGCCTTGTGTGTCAGAGTTAAGAAAATTATAATTATGTGGTATTTTGAAGAAGTGGGTTCTCTTACTACTTTTTTTTTTTATGTTAGGATGAGAGGGGACCTGTTAACTGTGTTGCAGGAGGAGATTTCTTCTCATAATTCATTGCAGGCAAACCAAAATAATCTGTCCCCCAAGTAAGAAGGGAAAAGAGGCAAGCAGTTCGGGTAAGGGGCCACTTAGACTGAAAGTGTGATATATTTTGAGAACTCCTACAGTGAACCTCACTTTAAAAGCAATAGTTTAGTTCTCAACCAGCCCAGTTCACTCTGAATGAACACCTCTGTAATATGTGGTAGAGGCTGAATTTGTAGCTCAGAGGTTCATTTTGTTTTGGAACACACAATATGGTGATACATGGTTGCAGTGAGAGCCACAGTTTGTGAGGAGGTAAGAGATGTTGCTGTTCCTAAAAACCTACTGTCATCCTACCAAGGGGTTTTTTTGATAGTTGGGAGTTTTTTGGGTTTTTTTCAGTACCCTGTCCCCCCACTTTCTTTTCCCTAGTGGGCACATGTGTTCTTATCAGTTCATGTCCTGGGAAAATGAGACCTACTGTGACTGGCATGCAGGACAGTTGCCCTTTCCCAACTGCATTAATTGCATAAGGTGGTTTTTAAATCAATTTACAAAATAGTTCAGATTAGTCCCAGCTCAAAGTAGCACTCCTCTGGAAGGTGCAAGACTTATGATTTGGGAAATCCATGTGCATGCTAAAGCAGAAACACAAGTGCTTTAACTTTATTTAAGACTCAGTAACTCCAGCTCCTTAAAGCTGCTATGTTGTCTGGCAATTACTGTGTTCAAGATTTGCACTATCTTTAGGATTTCATTACCTGGTGGTAGTACTTCTTTCCTCATACTTTGTAAACACCATACAGAAGAGGATTACTGAGCTCATGGAAATCAGCCAAGTTGTGAAGCAGTACCAACACTTTTTTTCAGGCTTAACCACTCATTTGTTGCAGCTGTTTAGAAGAGCTAAATCTCCTTGTTTCTGTGCAGGTGCTTGGTTTACAGTTTCATAAGGAGGGATGCAAAGAGCATATGCAAACATCTGCCAGATTTCCATCTGCAGTGTAATTCATACTGTGCTTGTGCACTAAGGAAGAACTATTGTGTTTCTTTCCATCCTACTTTTTTTTTTTTTCCCTGAAGAAGCTAACTTCAGCCTTATACATCACTTCTACTTGAACCATGCTAATGAAGGAGCCAGAGCTATGTTCATAAAGTGTAAAGAACATGAATTTCCACATGCAGAGAAGTCTGTCTACAACTGTTTGAAGAGCTGCTCTTGTGCGTGCAGTCACCATTCCTGTGTTAATCTTAGCAGTTTCCTGTTCAGCCATGGATGACAACCCCTTTGCCACCCTAAGAGTGCTAGAACAAAAAATAAAATTAAAAAGCAAGGGGAAGTTTGAGCAGTGTCCCTGTTACCTTGGGCTGACATGTACCAACCACACTGCACTGCTGGGTGGTGAGTCTTGGTTTAGTTTTTTGCAAGGCAAGTCAGTGTTAGAAACGTTCCTTCTATCACTGCAGTGCTGTCAATTGAGGGAGACTGTGAGTTGTTCCTGTCACAGACCAGCTGTACGGACCAGCATCTGAATACCTTGGATCTCATTACACTTGTGATAATGTTTCCTTAAGGTGGGAGGGGGGAAAATCAGCTGCACATGGGTAATTCTGATCACTCAGATGATAACTGTGCTCAGTCTAGTGCCAGGTAGTTACAGCTCTGAAGTTTTTTCCTAGTCATTCTTCTGACAAACAATTTTTCTAAGTAAGAACAGTGAAAAGCTAAAAAACAAATACTACCCTGTAGCTAACATGTTTGGCAAACTGCTGTTCTTTATAACTATAGATGCAAAAGTGAACACAGTTTAATAAACAATTTAAATGTTTATTTGAAAAATGTTAACAATAGAAACTGGCATGGGCAGAGTGGGCCTACTTAGCAATAGTAAGCCAGTATTTCTGTACAATTCCATAGAATTTTCATTTTTCTTTTGGGACTTCATATAGTATTGCTGTCACAGATACAAAAAGCATACTATAATTACAACTGCTAACAATTTTTATGAGTGGAAGGGACCATAAAAACGTAAAGTGCTTGAAATATAAATCTGCTTTTTTAATTTTTGTTTTGCATATATAAAATGTCAAATTTCTTGAGTAACACAAATGTTGCGTAGTGGTATCTTCCTTGCAAGGCACACTCAACCCTATGAGACCTGAGCCAGGTTGGGCAGCTTTGCTTAGGCTTTTGGCACAGCTGACGTTTGCAATACTCCCTAGTCCTTTTCTGAAGAATGCTTTCTGCAGACTTAAGGACACCCTGAATTTCATCATCTTGCTAGTCAGGACAACTGACCTGGTTTATTTATGGGCATGAAGGCAGCGAGCATCCTGTCCAAGGTGTGGAAAAGTGACTTCACAGAAGCTAAAACCAGTGGTAGTCCTCAGGGTGGAAAGCTGCTCTATTTTGAAGATTCTGAAAAGGCTGCTTGTTTATGAAGAGGCACAAGGAAGTCAGCTTTGGGCCTTGGCCTGAGTTGCCCTTTTATCAATTAATCAACTGACTTAGTTTTCTTAGTAGGAGACAAACAAAGTATTAAGCTCAAGTGCCAAATTTCAGGTCAACTAAAAGTGTGTTTTTAAAAACCAGTAACTCCAAAGAAAATACAGTATTAAGTACATGCTTTCTCATCTAAATTATTTTTCCTGTCTGGAAGATCTGAAGGCAGGCTGATAGTAGTCACAGGTACAAAGCTGACTTGATCCAGAAGAAGGATGCCTCTGAAAGGTAAGATTACCTGGCATTAGAAAGCAATATACAAAACAATTCTGTGTTCTAAAAATTAGATTTACTCTTTAACTCCCCAAACTTAAGTTTAAATCAGTGCGTCAAGTATTACCGTCATAATACCTCTTTTGTGAAGCTAGAATGAAAACTGGTTCCAAAATATACTAGCTGTGGTTTCTGAGGGCTCCCTTCATCCAGTTTCTACATCTGAAGTGTCAGCAGCGTAGACTCTATATATGCTTAGTTTCATAGTAGCCTAAAACTGTCTGCTGTCAGGAGCTACATTTAATTCTCCAAGACTAGGTAGTTTTATCAGTGTACCATGGAATGGCATTAAAGACTTGGGATGAGGTCCTGACATCTGCAACTCTGTCAGTCACCACATGAGATCTTCTGCTCATTCGTACTGGTTTGCAATCATGATTTAAACCTTTACCGTTTTTTATGGGAACACTTTACATAGGTAGCAAGAAAACAACTGTGTGGTTTTGAGGTTGTGGGGGTTTGTTTGTTTTGTTTGTTATTTCTTTTTGTTGTTGGTTGGGTTTTGTTTTTTTAAGGGGAGGGAGTGGCACAATTTCTTTAAATGTTCTGACAAGCCATGCACAAGCCCCATGTTCTCCAGTTGGAAGAGGAATTACTCCAGGCTGGTTCCTCTGCTCTGTACTCTCCTCTGCCATGGACAGGCAATGAGACACTTTGCTGAACAGTTTGCTGGGATTAGGTTTTTCTTCCTAGTTCTACTTAGTTCAGTTTCACACGTGGAAGTGTTAAGCTACTTAC